AGGCACATGCCACTCACCTGCATGCTCTGCTGGTACTGCATCTGCAGAGAACCTGGGGCCGAGGTGGGAATATCCAGTCCAGATCCTCCCTCCACACGCTGAGAGATGAAGTTGTTCAAAGATCTCAGGGTGGATAAAACCGTGGTGTTTTCCCCTAGGTCTTCCATGGTTGCTTTCCTTCTGGAGGGGGACAAAGACTGGTCAGATACAGCCTTGCCACATGCCATCAGCTGTGCAGTCAGGGGCGCTCTGGGCAGCCCCACTCCCCTAACTCACGTTGGAGCCCATAATATACCAGTGTCTGTAACCACATTCTTCAGAGGCAACTGGCAGCCGCGCTGCCAACTTACCAGACAAAAAATGGACGCAAGAAAGAATGCCACCAGACCCCTGCCACCAAGCCACCGACTAAGTGTCAACTGCACAGAGGGACAGCTGGTGCCCAGGAGGCGGTGCTCAGCACTCAGGTGGCACGTTCCCCTCAAAGCATTGTAAGAAGATGCTCCAAAGAGACAGAGCCAACAAGACACAGAGACAGACACACGAGAGGGGCTTTATTAGGGAAACTGACTCACATAATTAGGGAGACTGTCCCACAACAGGCTGTCTGCAGACTGGAACCCTAAGAGCCTGGCAGCGTGGCACAGTCCAAATCTGAAGAGCCAATGGAGCTGATGGTGTAATTCTCAGTCCAAGGGACTACTGGGACAAGTCCTGGAGACCAAAGGCCAGCAAGCCTGGAGTGCTGCTGTCAAGGAGAGGAGAGGAAAACTGCATCCCAGCTCCAGCAGGAAGATGGACATGTTTGCTTTTTCTCTGTCCTCTCCAGGACCTCAGGCTCTTGAATGATGCCCCCAACACTGAGGGTGGATCTTCCCCACCTGATCCACTCAGACTCCTAAGCTCATCTCCTCTGGAAACACCCTCATCGGCACATCCAAAAGCAAAAACAATGCTTTCCCAAGTTTCTAGGAGTTCCTGAATCCAGTCAGTTGACACCTGAAATTAACTACCAGGAGCACTCACAAAGTCTGGCTTCTTACCCAGACACGGTGGCTTACACCTGTGATCCCAGCACTTTGGGAGGCGGAGACACGCAGATCACTTGAGGTCAGGAGTCCAAGACCAGATTGGCCAACATGGTGAAACTCCATCTCTAAGAAAAATGCATAAACTAGCTGGGTGAGGTGGTATGTGCCTGTAATTCCAGCGCTACTCAGGAGGCTGTGGCACAAGAATGGTTTGAACCTGGGAGGTGGAGGTCGCAGTGACCTGAGATCACACCACTGCACTCCAGCCTCGTTATAGAGTGAGACTGTGCCTCAAAATAAATAAATAAAAATAAATTAAGGCCAGGCAATGGTGGCTCACACCTGTAATCCCAGCACTTTGCAAGGCCAAGACAGGCAGATCACCTGAGGTCAGGAATTCGAGACCAGCCTGGCCGACATGGTGAAACCCAGTCTCTACTAAAAATACAAAAACTAGCTGGATATGGTGGCACACACCTGTAATCACAGCTACTCAGGAGGCTAAGACAGGAGAATCACTTGAACCCAGGAGGCAGCGGTTGCAGTGAGCTGAGATTGCACCCTTAACTCCAGCCTGGGTGACAGAGCAAGACTCCATCTCAAAAAAAATAATTTTATTTTAAAAAGTCTGGCCTCTGGGAATCGGAAATGAGACACACAACAGTGACAGTAAAGATGATGATCACCACAGCTGTGCTAATTTTCATTGTTTATTTCTAATGACGTTAACAAGCACTACTACTATTTTCAACTAGGTACTGGAAAGAAAGGTATCTGACATTTCCGAGGACCTAGACTTCTCGACCTTGAGTTTCCTCATCTGGAAACTCATGAGAGTGAAATTCACTTGCAAAGTTGTGAGGATCAGGATCAATATCCCTCAAGTCTTCCACTGCTAGATGATGGGAACATGGCTGCAGGTTGACCAGCACTATACTTGCAAGCTCAATCTTAACAGGATGGGGAATTAGGTCTTTTTACAAATTCTAGAAATGATGAAACTGAAGCTTCAAAAGTTACAGAACTGAGGTTGGAACCTGGGTCTGTCTAGCTTTGCAAGGCTGAAGACAAGCCGTAGCAAAGAACTTTGCACCCCTAAAACCTGCACTTATGATGGTCCCACGCCACGCCGGCCCTCCAGCCACAAGGGGAACAGCCAAGAGCGTTTAACAGCCAAAAGGTGGAACTCCTGCAGCTACACTTTCTGAGTTTTCATTTAACAAGAACCTTGGCCTGGTGCAAGCAGAGTCCTGAGCTCCAGCTCCCCAGGCTGCGAGCCCCGCACAAGCAGGCCCGCCTGGAAGGAGGCTCCACAGCCCAATTCCTCCATAGCCCAGACGAGACCAGGGCGGCCCTTACCATCCCCGAGGGGAAACAGGGCCCACACCACCCCCTTCCAGAGAGCGGACCCGCGCGAGCCACCAGGATGGCAACAGTCCCTACAAACCCGACTTCCCCACCAGGCGCCAGCTCAGGCCCCTTCCTCCGCGCGCCCGCGCCCCAGCCCAGGGACCCCCACGGCGGGCACCGGGACCCTGGGGCTGGGGCCACAAGTGCGAGACCCTCGGCCGCCCGCCCTGGCACAAGGCACGGCTGTGGCGCCCCAGGCGAAGGACCCGCTGTCCCCGGCCCAGCCAGAAGTGAGGAGTAGGGACAGTGGAGTGGGGTCAGGGAGTGGGGAAGAGGAGAGAGCACAGAGAGAGGGGACAGCGCACCTAAGGGGGACGAGGCGAGAGCGGAATCCTGAGGCACCGGGTCGGGTCGTTGTGCCCTACCCTTGCAGATACACCTGGACTGAGCCCTCGGCCCCACCCCTGTCGCCCCCGGCACCTCCGGGACTCCAGGCTCCGGCCGCCCGCACTAGCCCGGCCGCTCACCTCAGCGGCCGCGGTCCGCTTGCCGCCGCCGCTGCTCAGATCTCCCTTCGCTCCGCCCGCGCCCACTTATCGCGACACTTGCGCCTGAGCTCTCGCGAGACCTGGGTGGGAATCGGGCCGTAAGGAATCCAGTCCGAGCGCCGGCTGAAGCCGGGGACTCCGCGTCCGCTCCCGGAGCTGCCACCCTCATGAGACTCCGCAAGGAAGACTTGGAATCGAAGGATGGGCCAAGGCGCGATCGGGGGCACCCGTCCTTGCGCAGGGCGCGCTTCCACTAAGACTTTCGCCTTGCCCCGTAATGTGTGGAATAGGCGCGCCCACGGCAGCCTCCTCTGGACAAACTTGCACTCTTGACTCTTAACAAAATTTTGCTACTCAGTATCAACTTGAATCAATCCGTTATATTGATTTTTTTCTGGGCCCACTAGAAATGCAATTTATGCTACTAGGCTACCTTCCCAGTGCTCTGCAAACCACGGCACAGCATCCAACTAGGTGAGGTGAAGTCAGACTCCACCCTCTTTTTTTTTTTTAGACGCTGCCTTGCTTTGTAGTCCAGACTGTAGTGCAATTGCGCAATCTCGGCCCACTGCAACCTCCTCCTCCCGAGTTCAAACGATTCTCCTGCCTCAGCCTCCAGAGTAGCTGGGATTACAGGCACGCGCCACCATGCCCAGCTAATTTTTGTATTTTTTTTTTTTCTTTTGAGACGATGTCTCCCTCTGTCGCCAGGCTGGATTGTAGTGGCAGGATCTCTGCTCACTGCAACCTCCGCCTCCCGGGTTCAAGGGATTCTCCTGCCTCAGCCTCCCAAGTAGCTGGGATTACAGACCCCCGCCACCACATCCAGCTAATTTTTTGTTTTGTTATTAGAGATGGGGTTTCACCATGTTGGCCAGGCTGGTCTCCAACTCCTGACCCTGTGATTCTCCCACCTTGGCCTCCCAAAGTGCTGTGATTACAAGCGTGAACCACTGCACCTGGCCAGGCTCCACCATTCTTTTTTATTATTATTAAGACGGAGTTTTGCTCTTGTTACCCAGGCTGGAGTGCAATGGCGCGATCTCGGCTCACCGCAACCTCCGCCTCCTGGGTTCAGGCAATTCTCCTGCCTCAGCCTCCTGAGTAGCTGGGATTACAGGCACGCGCCACCATGCCCAGCTAATTTTTTGTATTCTTAGTAGAGACGGGGTTTCACCATGTTGACCAGGATGGTCTTGATCTCTTGACCTCGTGATCCACCAGCCTCGGCCTCCCAAAGTGCTGGGATTACAGGCCCCACCATTCTTATGGTAACTCTTACCTACCTTGCAACTTGGATCCTTTCCTGAGAAGGGTGTGCCTTACTCATTTCCAAATTCTCCCCCCACCTCTGCGCAGCCTTTGGCTTCCCTCTAAGAAGGTGCTGTTCCTAAGGGTCTGCAACGAATTTTCCTTCTTCCAGAGAAAAAGACTTCCAAGTTGTGTGCCCCAAGAATGAAATGGGATGAGAAGAGAATGAGGTGGAGTAGTGCAAGATTCCTTGGACTTAACTACCTGACTGCAACCAGAAATAAAATGAAAAGTAAAAACATATGACCTGCTTCCTTCCGGGAGCTGGACTGAGCCCCAGATCCCTGATGGAGATTCCTGAGTTTCTAGAATTCCACCACTGGTTCTTGGAATGTTTTTTTGTTTTTGTTTTTGAGATGGAGTTTTGCTCGTTGCCCAGGCTGCAGTGCAATGGCTCGATCTTGGCTCACTGCAACATCCATCTCCCAGGTTCAAGTGATTTTCCTGCTTTAGCTTCCCAAGTAGCTGGGATTACAGGCATGCACCACCATGCCTGGCTAATTTCGTATTTTGAGTAGAGATGGGGTTTCTCCATGTTGGTCAGGCTGGTCTGCAACTCCCGACCTCAGGTGATCTGCCTGCCTCGGCCTCCCAAAGTGCTGGGATTACAGGCGTGAGCCACCACATCCGACCAGTCCTTGGAATTTAATCACAGTTACAGTCAACAAATTCTTCTTGAGGGACAAGTACACCTCCAGGAAACAGCTTTGAGGAAGCCAGTTTTAAAAAACAAAACTTAAAAGCATTAAAGTCTCTATAATAAAATAATGCAATCTCTATTATTTTATTAAAATATAAAGCTGCATCAAGTTCCGAGAAGAGTAAAAGAAAATAAACACACCACATCACTGCTTGCTTTGGCAATTACCTTTATGGTCTTGGGAGCCCAGACACCAGTATTTATTTCCAGCACAAACCAAAGCACACTCACCACATGCATAAATGAAACAATACGTCTTCCCTAATTGCTCTGGGAACTCTTGCTGCTTGAAGAATGCATGAATTTCTAGATTATTCACCAGAAAGACAGAAGTTAATCCACCAGATGGAAATTTCAGATTCTTCTTTTGGTTTGGTTGTTTCTCCATGTTTGTAGAGATGGGGGGCACTTTCGGTCAGGCTGGTCTTGAACTCCTGACCTCAAGTGATCCCCCTGTCTCAGCCTCCCAAAGCCCTGGGATTACAGGTGTGAGTAGCCTCACCCAGCCTCCAGATTTTTTACTTTACACTAAACAGCTAAACGAATAACTGGAAACCTGTGGATGTTCTTACACCTGTTTCTGTGTAACAGTTTAACAGTCTATAAGATGAAGGCACACATGGGCATACCCATCCCTGCCTCAACGAATCCCTTCTGATCCTTCCTATAGTCTGTCTTTCTTCATCCTTCTATCCTCACCTATCTCTTTTTCTTGGTAACTTTATCTTCACAAATCACGATATAGAGGACTTTTTCATTTTCCATAGTCCCTGAATTTACTTTTGTCATCTCTTTTTGGTTAAAGAGAGACAGAGGGAGAAAGAGAGAGAAAAACTCCCTCTCTCACCTGAGGTCAGGAGTTCAAGACCAGCCTGGCCAACATGGTGAAACTTGACCTGTTCCATCTCCCAGATAAGCTCAGATCTCCCAGGAACTTCTCAGGAAGGAGCTCAACCTACATTTAGAGCTTAAAAGGAGCTAATAACCACTATGAAAATGGCACAAGAAATCCTCACTGCTTCACAGTGCCCTTCCTTCCATGGTATTGTGTGGCCAAGAAGTACATTTCTGATGATTCTTTCCTGCTGGCTTCCGGTTTGATGATCCTTACACTCTGGAATTCCTCTGTCAGTCTACTCTGTAACTGACGGCTTTGACTTCCAGCCCATGTTTTACAAAGGAATGTTCCCCCAGGGTGGAGGATGTCTGGGGTCATGCCCAGAAGGGACAGGCACAGGCTGATGAGCCTGTCGTGATCGAGGTCCCTGACCCCTGTGGCATTGGGCGCCATGTCACTCAGAATCACATCTGCTCTCCCGCCAGGAAGCAGTTCTAGGATTCTCTGTGAGGTTCTTGGGTCAGTCACATCAGCAGGACACAGAAAAGTTGCTCCTTCCAGGGGGAGTATGTGAAGAAGATCCACCCCAAGCACAAAGCCAACAGGAGAGCTGAGATCTAAGGAAGAAATGGTGAATGTGTTATTTATTTATACCCTGAATCTTTTCACAAAAATACAGTATATGCAACAAAGTGATGAAATAAAAATAAAATATTGACCAAGGCAAAGAGCTAATGTGCAAATAAATGAACACAGGCCTTCTCTCACTATCTACATCCTATAAAGACACAGTGGGGGAGGTGGCTGCTCTTAACATCTGAGAAGCTGAGGCCTAGACAGGAAGTGACTATCCTAGAGTCAGCATCAGTGATGGGCAGACCTGTGCCAGATGCTAGGACTTCTGATTCCAAATCTGCTATCATTTCACTACCCAAGGCCAGATCCTAGGACTTCTGATTCCAAATCTGCTATCATTTCACTACCCAGGGCTCACTCTCTATGAAAGAGTTCTTATCTCTGAGTAGTCTTTTTTATAAACTAAAATGGAAAATAGACCAGGCACATTGGCTCACACCTGTAATCCCAGCACTTTGGGATGCTGAGGTGAGATCACCTGAGGTCAGGAGTTCAAGACCAGCCTGGCCAACATGGTGAAACCCCGTCTCTACTAAAAATACAAAAATTAGGCTTGGTGGCATGTGCCTGTAATCCCAGCTACTCGGGAGGCTGAGGCAGGAGAACCGCTAGAACCCAGGAGTCGGAGGTTGCAGTAAGCCAAGATTGCGCCACTGCAACCTAGCCTGGGTGACAGAGAAAGATTCCATCTCAAAAAAAAAAAAAAAAAAAGAAAAGAATATACTAGTACATAAAGTGCCTCTGGATTAAATCAATAAATCCATTATCCAGCTTAATCCAATTGCTTTCAATGTAGAAACTCATGGAAACAAGTCAGGAGATGGGGAAAATGAAGAGATACAAAATAACGTACAAAAACAGATACTGGCTGGGTGCACTGGTTCACACTAATAAATCCCAGCACTTTTTGAGGCTGAGGTAAGAGGACTGCTTGAGCCCAGGAGTTCCAGTCCAGCCTTGGCAACATAGTGACATCCTGTCTCTACAAAATACATAAAAATTAGCTGGGTCTGGTGCCATGTGCCTATAGTCTCAGCTACTCAGGAGATCCAGCTAAAATGAGGCACAAGATGTCCCATTTTCCTGGGCTAAAGATTGAGGGTTTTCACCTTTGAAAAATGAGGTACTCCTCAAAATACCTGGACTTCCAATGTTCAAGCCAGAAATGAAACACGAACCATAGGTACAGAGGGAGAAGAGGGGAGGTAGACACTGAGATCAGTTATGGGCAAAAAGTCTTGTTTTAGGTAGGCGAAGCAATGGCGTCTTTTTAGTTTTATAATGGGTATTACAGAAATATCAGCAAGTTGGCCAGGCATGGTGGCTCATGCCTGTAATCCCAGCACTTTGGGAGCATGAGGTGGGCAGATCACGAGGTCAGGAGTTCAAAACCAGCCTGGCCAAGATGGTATAACCCCGTCTCTACTAAAAAATACAAAAAAAAAAAAAAATTAGCTGGGTGAGGTGGCTCGGGCCTATAATCCCAGCTACTCGGGAGGCTGAGGCAGAGAACTGCTTGAACCTGGGAGGCAGAGGTTGCAGTGAGCTGAAATCGCACCACTGCACTCCAGCATGGACAACAGAGTGAGACTCTGTCTCAAAAAAAAAAAAAACAAAAAACCAATATCAGCTTTTTGTGTATGTGTGAGACAGGATCTCACTCCATTGCCTGGCCCCAGCTCACTGCTGCCTCAACTTCCCCAGGGTCAAGTGACCCCTTCCACCTCAGCCTCCCAAGTAGCTGGGACCATAGGCACATGCCACCACACATGGCTAATATTTTTTGTACTTTTTTTTTTTTTTATGAGACGGAGTTTCGCTCTTGTTACGCAGGCTGGAGTGCAATGGCACGATCTCAGCTCAGCGCAACCTCTGCCTCCTGGGTTCAGGCAATTCTCCTGCCTCAGCCTCCTGAGTAGCTGGGATTACAGGCACACGCCACCATGCCCAGCTAATTTTTTGTACTTTTAGTAGAGACGGGGTTTCACCATGTTGACCAGGATGGTCTTGATCTCCTGACCTCATGATCCACCAGCCTCAGCCTCCCAAAGTGCTGGGATTACAGGCGTGAGCCACCGCACCCGGCCTTTTTTTGTACTTTTTGTAGAGAGAGGGTTTCACCATGTTGTCCAGGCTGGTCTCAAACTCCTGACCTCAGGTGATCCTCCCACTTCAGCCTCCAAAAGTGCTCGGATTACAGGCATGAGCCACCGCACCTGGCCTCATCCCTCACTTTATGCTCCAGAGCTTTTGCTCCTGTAACATCCCACATGTTACATGCTTTGGCCACATGCTTGTGACTTCCGGGAGGAAAAGAACAGGCAGATCACCCCATGTGCTCTGCTTCTGTCACTTCCTCCTGCAAGGCAAACTTTCTTGCTTCATATCAAGAGCACTTAGGGGAACAGAAATCACGGAAATCAGTTAATTGGAGGACTCCACAGTGATAAGCTCAGCAATAAGAAAAGGAACTGACATTTCCAACACAAATTCACTCATTTAGACAATTGTTGAGCTAAAACAACAACAAAAAGGCTGTTCAGGACAAGCACGGTGGCTCACGCCTGTAATCCCAGCACCCTGGGAGGCTGAGGTGGGCGGATCACTTGAGGTCAGGAATTCAAGACCAGCCTTGCCAACATGACAAAACCCTGTCTCTACTAAAAATATAAAAATTAGCTGGAAATCAATTGAACTCAGGAGATGGAGACTGCAGTGAGCCAAGATCAAACCATGGCACTCCAGCCTGGACAAAAGAGTGAGACTGTATCCCAAAAAAAAAAAAAGAAAAGAAAAAGGGGGTGGCTGTTCAAAACCCCGAAGAGGCATATCCTGGCCTAAGTACGGGCAGGGACCACCCAGGAGATGCAGGTAGACACCAAGCGTTCATGGCAAACCTACAGCAATCCAGCAATGAGGCTGACTTGCAGATCCAGGGGGCCAGCATTCCAGGTCTTCACTGTCAACAAATCACAAAACTCTTGAGCCTCAGTTTTCTCACCAATAAATGGGTACCAGTATCCCCACTGTAGGGTATCTGGGAATGCTCTGGGTGGACTGTCTTACCCTGTTCAAATGCCAGTGCATGTAGGTACCCTGGCTTGACAGCAGGAAACATCAGTGGCAAGGATATTCACCACAGCACACGCATCCCAGCAAAAAGCCACAAGCAACCTTGATGCCCACGGTGAGAGAACTGGTAAAGAACCTAACGTACAAGCATATCATGGAACAGGATGTAACTGTTCCCAATGATGACAGTTTCTTAAGTTGTATGGGTGGCTGGTTGATCTCATCATTCAGGGGAATCTTTTTATATAGAAAATCTTACTCAAAACCCTAAGATACAAACAGATGAAAACTGTCTCAGCTTCACCCAGAGTGGAGAATCCATAGCCCTGGCCACAAAGCCTCCTCTAGGCTCCAGAGGCAGCAGCCCCAGTGGGGTCACCAGAAAGCCCTAAGGCTTACAAGACTTGGAAAGCTCTGGAGTCGATTCAGCTGTGCTGCTGGGGAGAGAGGTCAATATATCATTAAGAGGGGCCAGGCACAGTGGCTCACACCTGTAATCCCAGCACTTTGGGAGGCCGAGGTGGGCAGATAGGCTGAGGTCAAGAGCTCAAGACCAGCATGGCCAATATGATGAAACCCCATCTCGACTAAAAAAAAAAAAAATTAGCTGGCTGTGGTGGCAGGTGCCTGTAATCCCAGGTACTCTGGAGGCTGAGGCAGGAGAATCATTTGAATCCTGGATGCAGAGGTTGCAGTGAGGCGAGATCACGCCATGGCATCCAGCCTCAGCAACAGAGCGAGACTCCATCTTGGGGAAGAGGAACAAATACATATATATGCATATATGTGTGTGTGTATATATATATATATATATATATATGTATATATAAAATGTATGTATATATATGTATATATAAAATGTATGTATATATATATACACAAATATATATGTGTATATATATATGTGTGTGTGGTATGTGTGTGTGTGTATGTGTATTATTAAGCAAAAATAGCTCCAGTGAGGCTGAAAATTAGCAAGAAGAGTACGACCCGACATTGCTTTAGGGATCTATGCAAACATAGGCCTGGAAGGACACACACCACTGTGCTGGAGCCATTACCTCCAGGAGGTATCATGCAAGGTCATCTCCATTTTCACTGCACCTTTCTACCTTGTCTTTCAGTTTGAAAATGGCAGGATTGCCAGGTGCAGTGGCTCAAGCTTGTAATCCCAGCACTTTGGGAGGCCGAGGCGGGTGGATCATGAGGTGTAGAGATCAATACCATCCTGGTCAACATGGTGAAACCCCATCTCTACTAAAAATACAAAAAATTAGCTGGGCATGGTGGCACGTGCCTGTAATCCCAGCTACTCAGGAGGCTGAGGCAGGAGAATTGCATGAACCCAGGAGGCAGAGGTTGCAGTGAACCGAGATCATGGCATTGCACTCCAGCCTGGGTAACAAGAGCGAAACTCCGTCTCAAAAAAAAAAAAAGAAAATGGCAGGATCCTGTTTTTATCATTACCATTACTAAACCACCAACTCGGAAGTGGGTGCTTTCAGAAAAGGGCTCAACCATCCCATATCCACTGGCAGAGGCAGCTTGTCTGTGCCCACTCGGCCTCAGGGTACCCGGAAGGTGCCAACAGTTGTGCAGAGCTCCCACCTGTGCCTGTGGCATTGACTTTCCGCACCGCCACCTGACTCCACGCCCCAGGAGCTGCCCCACAGTCTAACACCCGAAGGCCAGGCCGCAGAATCTGATGCCTCTCATTCATCTCCAGGAGCTTGAAGGCGCTTCGACACCGATAACTCTCCACCTTCGCAGCCTTCACAAATGGGTCCCTAAGATGCCGAGTCAGCCACAGGTGCTCAGCACCTGTCCGATTCTTGCAGTGACTCCTGGCAGTGTGGAACCCTTTACGCTGAAAGGAAGCACACACCAGCTTCAAGAACCTGGTAGGAGAGAAGAGGAGCAGGCAGGTTGGCATCACACAGATCAGCAGGTCATGAGCTGGGAGAGCCCTCGGTTCAACTCTTTGATTTCCAGAGATGAGGCACCAAGACCCAGGAGGGGAGGTGAACTGACAAAGCAATACAGTCAGAAAGCAGGCATTGCAGGCCGAACTGTGTCCCCACAAAATTCATGTATTGATGTCCTAACCCCCAGTATCTCAGAATACGAGTGTATTCGGAGACAGGGCCTTTAAAGAGATGATCAAGTTAAAACAAGGTCATATTGGTAGGCCCTATTCCAACAGGACTAATGTCTGTATACAAAGAGATTAGGGGCCGGGCATAGTGGCTCACGTCTATAATCCCAGCACTTAGGGAGGCCAAGGCAGGTCTTGGATCATCTGAGGTCAGGATTTCAAGACCAGCCTGGCCAACATGGTGAAATCTTGTCTCAGCTAAAATTAAAAATTTACAGGCATGGTGGCGGACGGCTGTAGTCCCAGCTACTCAGGAGGCTGAGGCAAGGGAATCACCTAAAACCAGGAGGCGGAGGTTGCGGTGAGCCGAGATCATGCCATTGCACTCCAGCCTGGGTAACAAGAGCAAAACTCTGTCTCAAAAAAAATAATAAAGAAACTAATTCATTAAAGTAATATTCTTTTCTCATCTGGCAAAAAACGTTCATTGGGCTATGAGAGACTGCAAGAAAACCTCCTAAGGACAGGTCCTTGCCTGAGTTACCTAGTTCCAGGGCTTTGGCAGCTGGCACAGAGGATCTGGCCTGTCCCATTTTTTTTTTTTTTTTTTCTTGAGACTAGGTCTCGCTCTATAGCCCAGGCTGGAGTGTAGTAGCAAGGTCATGGCTCAACACAGACTCAAAGTCCTGGGCTCAAACAGTCCTCCCACCTACATGTCTTAAAATTGAATTAAACCCGTGTGAATTGCTGAAGGACAATTTCCAAGATTCTCTGGACAAGCTGTGCTGTAACAATTTATTCATAGCCCACAATAGCTAATCAGGTGAAAGCTATACACACCTCCCCTGTTTAACTCTGAGAACAACCTCACCAAGTAAGTTCTATGCCCTTTTTTCTTTTTTTTTTTTTTTGAGACAGAGTCTCACTCTGTCACCCAGGCTAGAGTGCAGTGGTAGCTCACTGCAACCTCCAACTCCCACGTTCAAGCAATTCTCCTGTCCCAGTTTCCCAAGTACCTGGGATTACAGGCACCCACCACCACATCCATCTAATTTTTGTATTTTCAGCATAGATGGGTTTCACCATGTTGCCCAGGCTGGTCTCAAACTCCTGACCTCAGGTGATCCACCCACCTCGACGTCCCAAAGTCCTGGGATTACAGGTGTTGAGCCACTGTACGTGGCCATTTTTCTTTTTTTTTTTTAGACAAGGTTTTGCTGCCACCCAGGCTGGAGTGCAGTGGCACAATCAGAGCTGACTGCAGCCACAACCTCTGGAGCTCAAGAGAACCTCCCACCTCAGCCTCTTGAGTAGCTGGGACTACAGGTGTGTACCACCACTTCTGGCGAATTTTTCTATTTTCAGTAGAGATAGTGTTTCACCCTGCTGGCCAAGCTGGTCTCCAACTCCTGACCTCAGGCGATCCGCCCACCTCGGCCTCCCAAAGTGCTGGGATTACAGACATGAACCACCTCACCCGGACACTTTTTGGTTGTTTGGTTTTTAATAGGCAGAGTTTTGCTATCACCCAAGCTGGAGTGCAGTGTCAAAATCACAGCTGATTGCTGCCATAACCTCTGGGTCTCAAGTGAACCTCCCACCACCTCAGCCTCGTGAGTAGCTGAGACTACAGGTATGCACCACCATGCCTGGGCTTTTTTTATTTTATTTTTAAAAACTTTTTTTAGAGATGGCATCTCACTATATTCCCTAGGCTGGTCTCGAACTCCTAAGCTCAAACGATCCTCCCGCCTCAGACTCCCAAAGTGCGGGGATGACAGGTGTGAGCCACCAAGCCCGGTCTCCATGTCCATCTTTCTAATTTAAAAAAAAAAAAAAAAAAAAAGTTACTACCCCCATGGCTCCAAAACCAAAGCTTCTAGCTTCTGCAACACCAAAGTGTGCCAACCAGCCAGGACGCACTGACTGGTGACCATGAGTCGTTGTCTTCACTAGGCTGAAGAGGTCTCCCGGGAGAACGTCACAGGCTGGTCCAAGGGGCGAGAGCATACTCGACAGCCCCGGAAACGTGGGCAGTGGAGCTACCCGGCTCACGAAAGGAAGCCCCCGGCGCAGCCCCGGGCGCCTCGGATCTGGGCCCCGGCGCTGCTCCCGCACCTGGACTCGGCCCCCACCGCCTCGGCCTCCCCACGGCTCCGCCGACCCTTGGAGATCTGAGGATGCCCTCCTCCCAGGAATCTGAGACCCGGAGCCCCGGCCTCGCTCCTGTCGCGCTCGATCAGTGCAGCGACGGTGCCCAGCGCTTGGGATCCAGACCTGAGGCCAGGACGGAGGAAGATGACGGGGCGGACCCACAACCACTCCCGCCTCCTGCATGCACGCCACCGGCGCCCCTCTCACCCCGCCATGGGTAGCCCCCGCGCCTGCAGCAAGCCGCCGGAAATGCCTCACCTCACTTCCGGTCAGAGGTCCCGTCCCCGGAAGCGGCAGTGCAGGTACGGAAAGTGCGCGCGGGGATTCTAGTAGCAGGGGTGACCAGGGAGGGGAGCTGAGCCAGCGGGCTGCAGGAGATCCGGTAAGCGTAGCCCATGGGCTTGGAGGAGACCAGTGGAGCGGAGCCGGGGGGTCGGGGTCTTGGGGGAGACCAGGAGAGCGGGGTCGGGAAAGACCGGTAGTAAATCATCACAAAAATTTACTTCGGAAACCATGGCTTCTGGCAGAAACAAATCAGTGTCAGGACAAAGTACACGGGCCTCGTGAGAAGCTCAGCCACAAACGCATTTACTCTGTCTGACCTGCCTCCACCACCAGGACCCAGTCTCAATGAAATGGGACAGGTTCCCTTGCCCTTCTTGAAGGGCGTGCGATAGGGATGTGGCTCACTTCTTCAGTGCCCCGCTGCTCAAGCCTCTAGGGGAGCATACAGACAGGCAGGCTGTGGGACTCTGACCTCACAGTAGTGTCTAGGGGTGAATGTTTGCAGCTCCTGAAGCCCCGCTGGGCATGTATTACAGGGTGCTCTTTCAGTTTAGCGGTATAGGTGGCTTGTGTCGGCTCAATTAGCCTCCTTGCCTTATCGCAAGGACAGAGGGCTTTCTGTATCCCGGGGTTTCTTGCCTTGGTGTACTGGAGCAGTGGGATCACACGTGGGCTTGGAGAATGAGTGCAAGGTTTTATTGAGTGGAAGTAGCCCTCAGCACATGGGGGAGCCAGAAGGGAGTTGGAGCAGGAAGATGGTTTTTCCCTTGGAGTCAAGGCCGCCAGGCAGCCCAGGCTCTCCTCCTACCGCCCTGCCAAACTCCTTGTGGTTCTGCCAGTTGATTCCCTGCCGGCCTGCTGCTTGTGCCTGTTGGTTTGCTCTTCACATCCTCTTGATGTCTAGCGGCTTGTGTCTCTCTGCCCAGTAGGGTCTGGGGGGTTTTAAAGGCACAGGATGGGGTCCTGGCGGGCTTGGGAAATACAACATTTAGGCAGGAAAACAGAAATGCCTGTCCTCACCTAGGTTCCTGGGCACAGGCCTGGGGGTGGAGCCCAAGCCAGAAACCACGCCCTCTTCTATCCAGCCCTTCCCTGCCCCGCTTCCTTATTGTCCCATCCCTTTTCGTAGACACCACAACTTCTAAGGAGGATCACTGGTCCTGAATTCTGTGTCTGAGTCCTGTCCTGGGGGCCAGGTGTAGACCCCAGAAAAGTTGGTCCTGGCTGGGTGTAGTGGCTCATGCCTGTAAATCTCAGCACTTTAGGAGGCCGAGGTGGGTGGATTGCTTGAGCCCAGGAGTTCAAGACCAGCCTGAGCAACATGGCAAAACCCCATCTCTACTAAAAATACAAAAATTAGCTGGGCATGGTGGCTCATGCCTGTGGTCCCAGCTATGCTGGAGGCTTAGGCAGGAGGCAGCTTCAGTCCGGGAGGCCGAAGTTGCAGTGAAACCAGATAATACCACTCTCCTCCAGCCTGGGCAACAGAGCAGGCTCTTGTCCCTAAATAATAAATAAATAAATAAAGGAAAGTTGGTCCTGGTCCCCCAGCTCTTGTCTCGAAAGAAAGGAGGGAAGGAGTCTCAAAAGAAAGAAGGAGAGAGAGAGGAAGGGAAGGTAAGTTGGTCCTGGTCCTCCAGCATTTCTCCAGAGTCCTTTTTCCAGCAGAGACTTGGTGGAGGCATCACCCTCAGAGTCCTTCTCTGGACCTGGACCTGCCCACCTGTGGGAGCAGGAAGGGCCCTTGCTTCCAGTGGCCTCTCTGGGTACCAGGTCCCACAGTGGCCACAGTAGGAGCAGAGTGAGTGGGGTATAAACTCCTGTCACAGGAGGGAGGACTAGCCGGGCCCGGCTAAGTGGACCTGTGTCTGCAGTCACCCATTTCCTGTGAATTGGGAAGCCTGCTATAGGAGAAGCAGGCCAGGTCCCACTAGGCTGGAAGAAGCTCCTGTTAATCAAAAGGCCAGTGTCAAAGCCTGACCTGAGAACCACAGGATAAATTGTGGGGTTCTTTTGGTGTCAGTCAGGCACAGAGACTGTTCTGCCCCACTGCTGTGCCTATGGCCAGGGGGTTCCTGGGGGCAGACGCAGGAGCAAGAGTCTGCTCTGGAAAGGTCACATTGTCCTTTGCAGCTGAGTTAGGGGAAAGGAAGTTAGAGCCAGCAATCATGGCTTCCCCTCCCCGCCTCCCAAAGCACATCCCCTTCCTCCTGGGCATTGGCACCTGCTTCCTCCATGAGCGTCACGACCAACTCTGCCCTCTCACCTTCCTTTCAGAACCCAGGGACCATGGGCACCTCCAGGCTCTATACCCTGGTGCTGGTCCTGCAGCCTCAGCGAATTCTCCTGGGCATGAAAAAGCGAGGCTTTGGGGCTGGCCGCTGGAATGGCTTTGGGGGCAAAGTGCAAGAAGGAGAGACCATCGAGGAGGGAGCCAAGAGGTACAAATGGGGCGGGGCTGGCCGTGGAACCGGCTTTCCCAGGGCACAGGGATTCGGGCTGCAGGGCCAAAGCCTTGGCTTCACCACTTAGAGCTAAGTGACCTGGAGCATGGGTTAACCTGTGAGCCTCAGTGTCTTCACCTCAGAATGGGAATAAGAACAGCATCCAGACCTTAGAACTCTTGAAGATTAAATGAGGAGAGCAGCATAAAGGACTTAGAGCAGTGCCTGGTGTGTACTGAGTGTGGAGTGTGTGTTAGGTGCTGTGGTGTGGTGTGTGGTGTGTAGTGAGTGGTGAGTGTGTGAGCTGCTGTGGTGTGGTGTGTGGTGTGTGAGCTGCTATGGTGTGGTGTGTGGTGTGCACTGAGTGTTAAGTGTGTGCTGCTGTGGTGTGGTGGTACGTGGTGTGTAGTAAGCACTGAGTGTGTGTCAGCTGCTCTGGCGCAGTGTGCTGGGGGTGCAGGGTGTATCTGGGAGCTACTGTACCTTCTGGCTTAATTGAGCACTCCTGGCATCCTCACTGTCACTGGAGGGCTCATCAGCCAGTTGGTTACTTTGTGCAAAGGAGTTGATCGCATTTATCTCACACCCTTTGCACACAAAATCTCACTGCATCCTCAGCTTCACTGAGATAGGAACTGAAGCCCAGAGAGGTTGAGCAGCTTGCCCAAGATCACACAGTCCTCCAGACACCCCTCACCCATATCACAGGGTCAACGAGATCATCTGTGTAAACGTCACAAAGTCCTGCCCAGATGTAGCCCCTGTTCGTGTTCCTGTTCTGAGAAAGGTAGGTCACCTTCCCCGGAGAGGAGAAATACAGAGGAAAGAGGGTCCTGGCAGCCGGGTGCGGTGGCTCACGCCTGTAGCCCCAGCACTTTGGGAGACTGAGGCAGGCAGATCGCGAGGTTAGGAGATCAAGACCATCCTGGCCAACGTCGTGAAATCCATCTCTACTAGAAAAAACAAAATACAAAAATTAGCCAGGTGTGGTGGTGCACACTTGTAGTTCCAGCTACTGGGGAGGCTGAGGCAGGTGAATTGCTTGAACCCAGGAGGCAGTGGTTGCAGTGAGCCAAGATTGCGCCACTGCACTCCAGCCTGGCCATATAGCAAGACTCCGTCTCAAAAAAAAAAAGAGGGTCCTGGCACGGGGGAAAGCCAGGACACTGCAGCCCAGGGGCTTTCCAAATTTTTCGGCACAACCTGCAGTGAGAAATACGTTTTATACTCTGATAGAGTATACACGCTCAGGTTTACAGGTACAGCTAAAATAAGCTGCAGAAGCCACCCTTACTACATTAAAAAGCACCCTACTATTTCTGATTCTTTTTTTTTTTTTTTTTTTTTTCCCTCCAGAGTCAGGATCTCACCCAGGCTGGCGTGCAGTGGCACGCTCATGGCTTACTGCAGCCTCAAACTCCTGGGCTCAAATGATCCTCCTGCCTCAGCCTTGTGAGTAGCTATGACCACAGGCTTGTGCCACCATGCTCAGCTAGTTTTTTAATTCTTTGTAAAGATGGGGTCTCATTCTGTTGCTCAGACCGGTCTCAAACTCCTGGGCTCAAACAATACTCCCACCTGGGCCTCCCAGAGTACTAAGATTGCAGACATGAGCTACTGTGCTGAAACCTTTTTTTTTCAATTGCAATCCTGATTTCATAGGGCACATAGGTCCCAACCCTCAGTTTGGAGAGCCCTGTGTGTGACACACTGAGCGTGTGCATCCCCTCCAAGGCCCGGGACCCTGGGCTGCAGCCACACAGACACATTTGATCAGCACTGTGGGAGGTGCCAGTGCGACGGGCTCTGCTGGGGGCTGCAGCTGGGGAGGAGGCCCACTGGATGTGAGTCGGGTATCTAGCACGCCCACGCCTATAGTGTGTGCAGAGCAACAGCAGCACAGGAAACCAGAGCTCCTCCTTCAAGAAAGAGATCATAGAAGGCTGCAGTTTCATCCTGTGTTCTCAGAGAAGTGGTGCCAGCCTAGAAAGACATTTCTTTCAGCAGGCAGGCCCAGCATACAGGACCCAGGTTCCCGGAGCAAACATTCCAGGGCTCCGGCAGCCATAACTACAGCTGAATAGGCTCTGATGCTCAGCCACAGAAAAGAGAGCAACCAGGAATGAAGGAAGTGCTATCAGTCCCAATCCTGCTGCCCTCGGGTCTCAAGACCGTAGACAAGTGGCTGGAATCCACTGGGCTGTCACTGGTACACAGGATGCTAGACTAGAACTGCGATCCTCCCACCAGTGGCTCCACACCATCTTTGGGCCCCTCCCCAGAGCCTCTCCACCAAACTCAGTGTCTTCAAAGTTCAAGTTGGTCAGGTCAGGACCAGCTAATGCATTCTGGGTGACATCTTGGGTCTCCCATCCACTCCAGTGGCTCCCTGGGCTGTGCAGATGCCCAGCTCCTCCTCCCCTGCCATCATGTGGGCATGGTGGCCTGCCTGATACCCTCCCTTCTCCCTACCCCGTCCACCTCTGCCCATAGGGAGCTGCAGGAGGAGAGCGGTCTGACAGTGGATGCACTGCACAAGGTGGGCCAGATCATGTTTGAGTTCGTGGGTGAGCCTGAGCTCATGGATGTGCATGTCTTTTGCACAGACAGCGTCCAGGGGACCCCCGTGGAGAGCGATGGTGAGCCTCATGGGGCCTGCTCCCCACTCCCCACTATGCACATTCCATCTCCTGGCTGGGAGAAAGGCCATCAGCCCAAACCAGCTCTGAGTGCCAGGCACCAGGCAACCTGCGTCACCTCCACCCCACAATGCCAGTGTAGGGCTCTGAGCCATGGTCACTGCACCCATTTCCTACCCCAAAATGAGAAACATGGTCAGAGGATTAAATACGAACGATCATCAGTTCCTCATGATCACTCAGGGTACTCCTCAGAGAGCCAGTTTAAGTTTGGGCTGGCCTGATGCAGTGGCTCACAGCTGTAATCCCAGCACTATGGGAGGCTGAGGCAGGAGGATCGCCTGAGCCTAGGAGTTCAAGACAAGCCTGGGCAACATAGTGAGACCCCGTCTCTACAAAAATAATAATAAGCATTAAATTTGGGTTGCATGTCAGTGCCTCCTCTTCTCCCCTCGGTACAGAAATGTTCCCACACTGGTTCCAGCTGGACCAGATCCCCTTCAAGGACATGTGGCCAGATGACAGCTACTGGTTTCCATTCCTGCTTCAGAAGAAGAAATTCCACGGGTACTTCAAGTTCCAGGGTCAAGACACCATCCTGGACTACACACTCCAAGAGGTGGATGCGGTCTAGCAGGAGCCTGGGGAGCCCCTGGGCAGGAAACTTGGCTGCTGAACAGCTGCAAACCGTCTGTTCACCTGGGCGCAAGTGGATCAGAGCTGGGTTTTGTCTGTAGTGTGGATGGAAAGGAAAATAAAGGTCTTCAACCTTTGTTTTTTGAAGATGGGAGTCTCTTTCTATTGCCTCTGTTGCCCAGGCTGGAGTGCAGTGATGCAATCTCAGCTCACTTCAACCTCTGCCTTCCAGGTTCAAGCGATCCTCCCATCCATCTCGGCCTCTCAAGTAGGTGGGATTACAGGTGCACACTGCCACGCCCGACTAGTACTTGCATTTTTAGTAGATACAGGGTTTCACCATGTTGACCTGGCTGGTCTTGAACTCCTGACCTCACGTGAGCCGCCTGCCTTAACCTCCGAAAGTGCTGGGATTACAGGCATGAGCCACTATGCCCGGCCGGTCTCTTTTTAAACTTCCTTCTCCAGACACCAGCACAGCCTGCCGGGTCCTGTCCACAGGAAGCTGCCAGATGTGCTGGGCTGTGACCCTCGCTGCTGCACAGAGGTGGGAGAGGACAGAGATTGTCCTGGAGGTGGACAGCTGGCGGAGGGCAGGACACATGCTCAGTGCCACTAGCTGGAGGTGTGTCATCTCAAAACCCCCCTGCACAGTGTGAGACACTTAGGCTAAAGCCCAGGCTGAATGCCTCATAGACTTGTCCCCCTCCCCTGCCCAACTTTCATACACATTTAATAAAAGTTGTTCGCATAGTTACCCATAAACCGTCCAAAATGTAGGTTGTATGTAAACAATTCCAGTTTATTGGGTGTATTGGGTATTGATCCCAGCAGCCTCCTAAAGTGCTCTGGACATGAGCTGACCCCCAAAGCAAGAGTAAAGGCCTCAGGTGCACAGAGCCACCCTGACATCCCTCAGCTAGGAGTCCCCGTGCCCATCAGAGCCCTACCTGTCTCCCCTGTCTGCACTGCCTCTATGGCAGCAGAGGGCAGCTGTCTGCATGGTGACCCTGAGTCCACAGGACAGGAGGATCCAGTAAGAATGTTCCCTTTCACTGTGATCTACAGCCCCCCTCCCATGGCCCCGCCAGCTACCTGTCCTCCCAGGGCAGGCGGCATCTGGCATCTCCACTGGCATCACACGCAGCTGTCCCTGCCAGCTGGGCAAGGCTGCAATGCAGAGCACAGGCTTGGGCTTGGGCCATGGGCAGCAGGAGGGCTAGAGAGACATGGGGAACCCCACTCTCCCAGCACGGGGCCTCCACCTCTAGCAGGAAGCAGCCTCTCATCCCCCAGGTCAGCCCCTGGGCCTGGGTACCTGCCAAGGCAGCACAGGGCCAGGGCCAGGGCCAAGAAGTAGTTTTAAGAAGGAAGGTGGCCTCTGCCATCCCCTGCCTTGCAGGCTTCTACTGCCCTTGAGAAGGCACTGGGTGGCAGAAGGAGAGAGGGAGGGAAGTGTTCCAAAGCCAGTGTCTACCCCTCCACAGAGCCAATGCCAGGGCATGCAGGAAGCAGCCACAGTCACACATAGGAGACAGGCTGCCCTCCTCACCCCTACCTCCCCTCACCCCTGCCCTCCTGCTCCCCACTCACCCCTACCCTCCTGCTCCCTCCTCACATCTGCCCTCCTGCTCCCCCTCACCCATTCTCCTGTCCCCCCTCACCCTGCCCTCCTGCTCCCCACTCACCCCTGCCCTCCTCCTCCCTCCTTACCCCTGCCCTCCTCCTCCCTCCTTACCCCTGCCCTCCTGCTCCCTACTCACTCCTGCCCTCCTGATCCCTCCTCATCCTGGCCCTCCTGATCCCCCGTCACCCCTGCCCTCTCGATTCCTCCTCACCCCTGACCTTCTGTTCCCCCCTACCCCTACCCTCCTCACCCGTCCTGTCCCCTCACCCTGCCCTCCTGTTTCTTCCTCATCCCCGCCCTCCTGCTCCCCTCCTCACTCCTGCCTTCCTGATCCCTCACCCCTGCCCTCCTGCTCCCCCCACGCCTCCCCTCCTGTCTCCCACTCACCCCCGCCCTCCTGTTTCTCCTCACCCCTGCCTTTCTGCTTCATCCTCACCCCTGCCCTCCTATTTCCTCTCACCCTCACTCCTTGCTCCTGCCCTCCTCCTTTCTACCTCCATCCTCAGCCTCTGGACACAAGGACCCTAAGATCCTGGTCCTGAAATTTCCACCACGGGGAGACGCTGCCAGGCATGTGGCCTCCTATCATACTCACTGACCCCACAGTCCCTGCCAGGAACGCTCCTTCCGAAATGCTCATTTGAGTCTTGCTCTCTCCTTGGAGGGTTGTATTGGGAGCACATGCCTTGCCTACCCTGGAGACACGAGGCCCCAGCACCTGATGCCTACCACGACTCTGCCCACAGCCTCTATGGTCCTGCAGCTGGACAGGCCCCAGGCAGGTGCAAGCAGATGGCAAGGCCTTGCAGCCTTCTGCCCACACAGGGTCACGCTGCATGGCTTAGCTGTCACAGCACCACTCATGGAAACTGAGAATCTGTCTCTGTAGAGGGGGTCAGATTCGCAGTACAACCCAAGACTTGGCTGGGCTAGGGACTCACAGGATAGCCCACCCATCAGGCTCCAAAGGGAGCGCTGCCCTCTGCTCCTCTGGCTAGAAGGGAGCAGACCACCCCGCAGCAGGAAGGCACCAGCAGAACCCACAGGGCAGGGCAGGGTCCGAGCCCCACAGCCATGTTGTCAGCATAGCCCACAGGGCCAGAAGGCGCAGCCACTCCCTCTGGCCAGCTCACAGTGAATGGTTGATCACCTGCTTGTGGGCACAAACAGGTGTCTCCTTCTCCATCCTAGGGCCATGAGATCCCCGTGGGTGCAGGCAGAAGGGAAGCAAACTGTGAGTGGAGGGAACGCCTGGAGGCCAAAGAGCATCCAGAGAATGGAGGGACCTCGGAAACCCTGGGGCCCAGGATCCTCTTCCAGCACCTCCCCACAGGGAGGGCCTCAGGCTCTGGAGAAGCGCAGGAGTCCGGGAGATCCCCAAGCTCCATGTGCCTTCCACAAAAGGGGTTTGGGGCAGGAGCAGACCCAGGCCTGAGGCAGACATTCCAGCCCCACAGAGCTCAGGAGAATGGCTTCTTAATCCAGAAAAGGGAAGGGTCCCCTCTGTGTGCGGGTGGCTGGGCCGGCAAGTGCATGGCGGGAGGCTGAGGGGGGACTCTAGTTGCCTCAGAGAAGGAAATCCATCTAAAAGGGGGCCATCCCTCCTCTAAAGCCCCAGCTGGAATGGAATACATCCCCCATGCCCCCACCTGTCCTCTGCCAGCCCATCCAGCCTCAGTGCCACACGGTGAAGACCCCAATACTGGCCACCAGAAATGAAGGGAGTCCAGGGGACAGGAACAGAACAACTGTAGCGCCCACTCTTGGAGCCCTAGCTCTCCGTCACGCCTTTGTCTTCCAGGCCTGAGACCAGAGGCACACACAGGGTTATGATGTGGGCACAGGGCACACATGGGGTCATGGAGTGAGCAGGGGGACATGGGACCACTGGATCCTGGAGGCCACTCCCAGACCAGGGCTCCTGATGTTCACTGCAGCAAGTCCCCTAGAAAATTCACAGTGCACGCCCCATGCCCGATGGCCAGCCCTCCTGGCCTTGCCACCACAAAGAGCCATGACAGCGTCCACACCATCAGCTCACTGGCTGTCCCCTTGCTGTTCCTGGCCAGTCCCATGCCTGACTGCAGGGCGGCCCTGCCCTCCCTCTCTCCTCCACTGACCAGCACCACGAGGCCGCCCCTCCTGACTGTTCCAGCATCTGGAGGCCCCACCCCCATGCTCCCCCAGGCACAATCTCTGTGACATAAGAGATCCCTGCCTTCCCCCATGGCTCTGGGTGTCAGGAGGAACCCCACCACCCCTCTTCACCAGGCTAGCAGGCCACGGGGTGGAGGACAGTGTGGCACAGCTTCCCTGTGGTCCATGGGTGCCCTCCCGGCCCACGGGCTGAGTGCATCGGCTCCGGCTGCAGGACGGGAAGGGGAGCTGCCGTCCAAAGGGAATTACACGGGACACACCGTTTGGAAAGAGGTTTTAGTGTGGCCGCAGGGAGCACTGCCTTAGACTCGCACTAGTGAGGACACAGGCCGTCCTCCGGCGGGGACTGTGGCGGGGAACGCGGTGGGGTCAGGGCGCTGTGTGGTCCCGCAAAGAGGCAGCTGAGCTTGGGTCTCAGGTCGTTCCACACCTTGCTCATCTGAAAGAGAACACGAAGAGAACAAGGTCAGCTGGTGGGGCCCAGGATCCCCACCACGCTCTAATCCCAACTCCTTCCCATCCCTCCTTCCCCTGCCAGTGACAGGGACAGAAGGGCACGTGGGTGCGTCAGCTCCTCAAACCTCCGACAGAGCCAGTGTCGCCCATCCTGCACAGAGGAAGTCCAAATGAGGAGTGGGCCAGTGGCCTCATGTGACCTGTGGTCACAGATGCCCACGCCTCGGACCCTGCACCCAGGACCGTGGGCCGCAAAGCTGCCTGCCGTGGAATCATGAGAAGCATTACTGTCAGGTCTGCCAGTACATGCTCTAGCTACCGTGTAGGCACTGGCTTCATGGACCACATGGACCTGGCTTTGGCAGGTCAAACACCAAGGCCAGCCTGGGCCAGAGAGGGACACCCAGTCTCCACAAAAAATCAGAAATCTTGGCCGGGTGTGGTGGTGCATGCCTGTGGTCCCAACTACTTGGGAGGTTGAGGCTGCAGTGAGCTGCAACTGCACCACTACACTCCAGGCTGGGCGACAGAGCAAGACTCCGTCTCAAAACAAAAAAGCAAACCAAAAACACAAACACCACATCCACCAAATCAATAACACACAAACCGGAATGCAAACGGTGGCCCCACTCACCAACACTTTTGGAACCAGGGCAATGAACGGATGCTGTGGACATGATGGGGAGGGCATGGCAGTAAGGCAGGGGTCAGGACAAGACCTGCCGTGCAGGGGCTTAGGTGGCCAGAGAGGGGCAGGGCACAGCCCTGGGGGCTTGCAGGGGAGGCTGAGTCACTGGAGCACAGCACACTCATCTCAGTATCACAGGACGAGGAACTCCTCATCACCACAATAATGGAACTGGTAGGACTGAGGTGATGGCATCATGCCCCCACCTGTTGCTCAACA